ATATAAATAATTTTAATTGGTGATTAAATGTAAAAAATGTGAAGTGGCACTGACACAAGTTCTATGTTACATCACATGCATGCTGACACACAGAGTCCCAGAGAGAGACCAGTGCTACCAATTTGTTTGCTAGATTTAGAAACTTTATCGACTTCTTCAGACCCTCAGGGTAAAGGCGAGAAATGTATTCAGTTATATTGTAATCCATTCTCGTGCATGCTGCTCAGACTAATCACAGCCCACAGAACGTCTGCCAACAGCACTGGGGTCTCTCCCTCTCCTCCTCCTCCGTCTGCAGACAGTCAGTAGGTGTGGTGGTGTGTGGGGCACATTTGACTTTGTCTCTGGATCTCTGGATTAGGTTGTTCCTAAGGCTTCTATGTAAATAATGTGTTTAAACTTCTCCCTCCATTTTTCACTTTCTTACTTCAAATACACATATATAATATACAATGTTCCTGCGGTGAGTTTGTGATTATTTGGCTTAATAATAAGTAAATATAAGAAACAGGTTTGCATTTGCAGTGATGTTGTATTGATCAAACAGAAATAAACAAGAATCAGTAACTAAACCAGTGACTATAAGAATAATGAAATCGGATTGGAGGAACACCTCAGGTGATTTAAACTTTTTATTCAGGTATAAGTACAGGGAACAACTAACAGAACTTTAGATGCAGACAGTTGTGGGACACTGAGGAAAAAATGTCATTTCTAGCCATCTCCTTCATTTCATTGAGCCCAGTCATCAAGGGATGCCAACGCAGGGGTCTCCTGTCTCCAGAACGGTCCAGTAAAATAGTTGAATCTGGCTCAGCCCATCATATTCATGCAGACATCCATTCCTGCTTTGTAACATTAACAACATATTGTATTTTTGTTGTTTACCTCAGAAGATAAAGTGATCGTTGTCAGGCCAACTTTCCAGACTTGTAAAATCCTCTCTAAGTATTTTACACAGCTGTTCAGTGCTTTTGTGGCTGATAAGGCCTTAGACCAATGGATCTGTTACTCAGACCGACCTCCTTGGATTATATTTCATTGTCTCATCGGCAGCTGAAACAACACACCTCCATCATCAACAGCCCTTGTTTTAACACAGAGCTGGATTATGACTGTAGGGCTGAACAACAGTGACAGACTCACTGTTGATATAATGGGACAAACAATGGCCAAAATCTCACCCATATACGTATTTAATCTCATATCACAGTGTCAGTGTTGTTATTTTTTGCCTTGCTTTTGCTGGCAAATGAAATTGAGTTTGGTGTGTTTTTCACTTAATGTATTCACTGTGACTCCAAGTCTGTAAAGGTTTAAAGCCCAGGTCGTGCAGCTTACAAGGAGATGCGATGGTGAAACTGGTGAGCTATGGCCAAAAAAAATACACGTAAAAAGGTGTTGTAAATGACAAATCTGAATCTTAATGTGAATTGCAACAAATTTGCCTGTTTAGCCGGTACACATTGCAGACAAATCCCAGGGTTCGTTTCACTTCCAAACTCACTATTTTCCTTCTGCAGACGAACCAAAATAGATTTCATTTCAACTATTCTGCTGCCTATAGACATGTTTATAGAGTGGGTATCAAGGTGATGCACAGAGGTTAATGGCTAGCTTGTTGGTCAACTGTTGGCAGGTTTGTTGACTGGCTGGTTTATAACAAACTAACTGACCAGTAGTAGTGTTGACGTAATGTAAATGGCTAACTGACGTCCAGCTACCAAATCCTCCTAAATGTTTGTGTGTGGGTGGTAAATAATTGTGCTCTAACATGTTTATTTAAAAAAAAAAAAAAA